ATTTTTTTAACACTCTCAGAGTGTTGATAATGTTAACTCTTTCAAAAGTGTTATTTTAACACTTTTATATTGGTTCCTATATAAACTCTAAGGGAGTGTCAATTTTAACTCTAAGGTAGCTAAATCTACTATCTAAAATTTGCAGTGTGTGTTTTTTAATAAGAGGCTTAATGACAACTAGATTAAAATTTTATTTAAAAAAATAAACAAATAAATGTATAAATGCCTAGGACAAAGAAAAATAGACAATACATTGTGAAATTTCCAAAGATGACATACTTCCATGCATGACGTGACTTCAATATGAACAGTTCTGTATTTCTGCTGAAATTTTAAGCAGTCAGGGATACTGTGCAGGCCACTTCACTAATAGAAAGCAAGCTGTTTCTAACAAACTGGAGAATTAATTTTCCATTTTGCTGATTATCTGAGGTGTGTCTGTTTCTGCAGGACTAGTGCCCATGAGGTCGTTGACGCTGGTCCTGCTCATCCTGATCAGCATTCAGGCTGCACTCATTATGGGAGGCCACACCCAGGCACAGGCGTCAGCCAATCAGCACGCGGCAACACAAAACTCACCCAGGCTTTACAGCCAATCAAAAGAGGACTTGCACTATGACGAACTAATTCCCACCGTGGACCCCAAACTCTTCAACAAGCGCCGCTACCGCTCACCTCGTGTAGTGTTTAGTGATGTGATCACTGCTGAAAAAGAAATGGGAACCCCCAGGCGTCCACGCATCCGACGGAAGGCAAACGACTTCCTGCATCGTGGTGAGTACTCGGTGTGTGACAGCGAAGAGCACTGGGTTGGCAACCTGACCCATGCCACAGACTTAGGGGGCAATGAAGTCATGGTGCTACCACATTTTCGCATCAACAACGTTGTAAAGAAGCAGCTCTTCTACGAGACCACATGTCGTGTGAAGAAACCTATTGGCGCCCCTAAGCCCGGTCAAGGAGCCAGTGGCGTTAAAGCAGGAACCTCTAGCTGTCGTGGCATTGACAGCAAGCACTGGAACTCTTACTGCACCAACACACACACCTATGTGCGGGCGCTAACGTCCTACAAAAACCAGATCGCCTGGAGGTTCATCCGAATCAACGCCGCATGCGTCTGTGTGCTCAGCCGTAACTCCTGGAGGCATGGACTGAAGTATTGACTGCTATCTCAGCAATCCAATGCAGCCTCCTGTTGAAAGTCCCTTTCACCCATCATTATTATCATCTGTACTGCCAACGCCACTGAGTCCCCACCCTTTACCTGTATTCTTTATGACATCGCAACCTAGGACCCTTCTACCCTACCTCACTCTGTAAATTATTGGTCAATTTAAGTTATGAGGACTGCATGACATATTTATATAGTTTATATAATCAGAATATAAATATTATATATATATATATATATATATATATATATATATATATATATATATATATATATATATATAAACATACATACAGGGTTGCCCATTTATATGGATACATCTTAGTAAAATGAGAATGGTTGGTGATATTAACGTCCTGTATGTGGTACATTAGTATATGTGAGGGGGGAAACTTTTCAAGATTGGTGGTGACCATGGTGGCCATTTTGAAGTCGGCCATCTTGGATCCAACTTTTGCTTTTTCAATCGGAAGAGGGTCATGTGACACATCGAACTGATTGGAAATTTCACAAGAAAATCAATGGTGTGCTTGATTTTAACGTAACTTTATTCTTTCATGAGTTATTTACAAGTTTCTGACCACTTATAAAATGTGTTCAATGTGCTGCCCATTGTGTTGGATTGTCAATGCAAGCCTCTTCTCCCACTCTTCACACACTGATAGCAACACCGCAGGAGAAATGCCAGCACAGGCTTCCAGAATCCAGTTTCAGGTGCTGCACATCTTGTATCTTCATACCATTGACAACAAAGATAGTCGGGCCATTCTTCATCAGTGGAAACCTCAAGGCCACTTGTCTATGGCAGGGGTGGCCAACCCTGTTCCTGGAGAGCCACCTTCCTGCAGATTTTAGTTGCAACCCATATCAAGCACACCTGCCTGTAATTATCACGTGGTGTTCAGGTCCTAATTAATTGGTTCAGGTGTGTTTGATATAGGTAGCAACTGAAATCTGCAGGAAGGTGGCTTCAAGAACAGGGTTGGCCACCCCTGGTCTATGGTGTGAAGATACGCCATTGTTTTTCTTGTGAAATTCCCAATAATTTTGATGTGTCACATGACTGTCTTCCTATTAAAACAACAAAAGTTGGATCCAAGATGGCCGACTTCAAAATGGCCACCATGGTCACCACCCAACTTGAAAGGTTTGCCCCCTCACATATACTAATGTGCCACAAACAGGACGTTATTATCACCAACTAATCCCATTTTTAAGGTGTATCCATATAAAGGCCCTCCCTGTGTATGTGTGTATATATATATATATATATATATATATATATATATATATATATGTGTGTGTGTGTGTGTGTGTGTGTGTGTGTGTGTGTGAGTGAGAGAGAGTACGTGTGTGTATATATGTGTGTGTGTGTGTGTATGTGTGTGTATACTGTATACATAAAGCAAGCTTTTGTTGTGTTGTTGATGCTCTTATTTATTAAACACCCCACTTCTGTATGTCAATGGAAGACTTCTTCTGTCGTAATCTCATATCAGTATTTAATTAAAACGTTTCTTTTATTGTTATGAACTCTAAACATGGGAAAGCATTGTTTACACTTTATTTGAGATGTCCTTGTTACAGTGTAACTGTTCCTTTAACTACTAAATAATATGAATTATATTATTAATTAAATAACTCCTTCAAACTAATGTGATTTCAAATATGACCCAACTTTACATACTTGTCAGAACATTCAGCACACATCAGTATGTTAAATAAATATATATATTTTTTAATAATTATGAAATTATATATGAAAATACAGTTATGGAAGATGAAGATGGTATGAATATAACCAAAAGAGTGTGTGGTTTTGTTGGGTTAGGGATGCGTTTGTTTTGGTGCTTTCAAATGTCAACATTGTATCACAAAATTCATTTTTAATTTGGTGGCATATTGTCTTTTAAAGTCCTGTTTTGCATGCACACAGTATGTACAACCCTCAATCAGAAAAATCTGGGACAGCATGGGAAAAAAAAAAAAAAGGTTTCAACTTTTGGCTTGTACTTATAGTACTTATACTTGTATAACTTACTTGGTAATAACTACTTGCACTAAACCTACTCATGAATCAAACCTTAACATTTTTATTAAAGAGTTGTTAGGTGTAAAAAATGTAATTATAAAAAATAATAAATAAAAAAAGATGAAAATGCTATTGAAAAAATGAATAAAATGTAATAATTATATAATTATTATCTAATAAAACTATAAAACTTAGCATTAATAATAATAGCATGATTATTATTACTGTTAACAATACTAGTAGTAGTAGTAGTAGTAATAATAATATTAATAATAATAATACATATAGCTGCAAGCAGCGATTAAGGGGCCAAGCACTTCATAGACAGAATGAGCAAAGCAGTCCAAAGCCAGATTGAGCAAAGCATAACCCGCGATTTCATTCATTAATTAATTCATTTTCTTGTTGGCTTAGTCCCTTTTTTAATCCAGGGTCGCCACAGCGGAATGAACCGATAACTTATCCTGCAAGTTTTTATGCAGCGGATGCCTTTCCAGCCGCAACCCATATCTGTGGAACATCCACACACATTCAGAAAAATTGACAATTTAGCCTACCCAATTCACCTGTACCGCATGTCATTGGACTGTGGGGGAAGCTGGAGCACACGGAGGAAACCCAGGCGAACGCAGGGAGAACATGCAAACTCCATACAGAAACGCCAACTGAGCCGAAACTCAAACCAGCGACCCAGCGACCTTCTTGCTGTGAGGCGACAGCACTACTGTGCCACTGCTTCATCTCCCGCTATTTCAGTGTTGTTGTTTTTTCTAGGGTATTGTGGTTTTTTTATTTAACAGATGAAGATTAGTTCTGTTACAACTTTTCTCTATCACTTTGGTCCATTTCTCAGATCCTGTACAATCTTCAGATTAGAGTGTTACTTATGTAAAAATGTATTGACAGGTTTTCCAGAAAAATCATCTGGCTTGAAGCATACAAAAGGAACAATGAATCACCAGGTTATGTTTTTGTGTTGGTAATTGTCACTAACACACACACACATTTGTATTTTAAACATTAAATGAAAGTAAAAAAAAATAAATTATTTTGATTTTATCAACAGGGATAGGCACAGCCAATCACAATGTTCATATGTGTTTGGGGGGGCGGTGCAACTCGACAAGAGACTAGATTTAACCCTTTCGGCATGTTAATATTGACAGGATTTTTTTAAGTGAATGAAATTATTGGTGGGGACATTTTAATAGTTGATGGTAATCTACGCCCCTGGCTAGCACTTCCGTTTTTTTTTCTGCCACCTCGATGTGCGCGCATCCTGAATGTTTACAAACATGGTAATTTGTCTATATGATTTTCTTTTTGTAATTAAAAATATTGATATTTTTTTCCCTTACGTTGAGAACATGTTTTTTTAATCGCAAAACAAATCATTTACATCAAAAGAAAATGTATTAATCTTATTATTTTCTTAACAATAAAAAATATGCAAATGAAATAAAAATATATAAATATGATAAATGAAATATATACAAATGTAAATTTGCAAACCGAAAATGTTATATTTTTCTCACTGAATTGCAGCATTATTCTGAGAACTAAATTGCACAATCTCTTCCTTTAAGTGTTTATATATATATATATATATATATATATATATATATATATATATATATATATATATATATATATATATATGCACAAAACTTAAGAGGAATGCACAAAACATTCATAGTACATTACAATATATATATATATATATATATTGTAATGTACTATGAATGTTTTGTGCATTCCTCTTAACAAAAAAAGGAGACCCACGACTACAAAACTACAACTCCCATGAGCACCCAGGTTTGTACACTACTTCCGGTAGCGTGTTTTTCTGCGCCCATCGGTTGTCGAGACGGAAGGTGGGAAGATTAAAGATTATAGTTTGTTCAAATATTACATTTAATAATAAATCAAACTCACATTATAGTTAATTTTGATACCACAGACAATGTCCAAATGTTGAACTGCATTCGTAACTAAATTTAGCCACGTGATATCACCCTTGTTTACGTGTTTAAAATGAGTAGAAGTTTCTCGTGTTTTGACTTCTTCAGCATGACTATATTTTGTGACAGATTATCGCTGTTTTTTATGTTCACGTATCACATTATTTATTAGCGTCATGTAATTTTTACAGCAGCAGCTGCTCCTGTACTTTTAGTTATATTTTTTGCTTGCGCTTTTATCCCAGAAACATTACGTCACATTTAAACAAACACATACTCAGTAAATATTTACAGCCAAACTGCATTGAATACTTTACTATCAGCTGGACATTCTTCCAGATGTTGAAGTCTTCTCTGTTACAATGTCTTAGTGTGGTTTAATGCTGTGGCGATGCCCTTGGAGGTGACATGGCCCTTCCCACAATGCCCCCGCCTGGGCTGGAGAATATCCAGCCGAGTGGTCATGGGAATGGTGGGCTCATACAGTTACCTTTGGACCAGTAAGTGAAATCTTCCTCTGTTTATATTTTGAATTATTAGTAGTAAATTAAAATGCCCCGTGAAAATTAAATATATTTAGATAGTTTCAGTCGTTTAGTTTTAAGGATATCAGTCAGATCAGTGTTTCTCAACCATGCTCCTGGAGGACCACCAACACTGCATGTTTTAGATGTCTCCTTTGTCTGTCATACTTATTACTGTTCATGCGGTTCTTGCTAAAAATCTAAATCAGGTGTGTTTGGTTAAGAAGACATGGAAAACAAGCAGAGCTGGTGGTCCTCCAGGAACATGGCTGAGAAACACTATTAGATAGCATGCTCAAAAAGTGACAAAATTCGCAGTTAGAAAATATAAAACTGGTATAAATATCTAAAACTTTCCATTTGTCACTTCTTGTCACACCTCTTTTCACATCACCACGTTTAAGTTTCTCATTAAATCTTGACCAATCAAATACTCTCCAGTGTCCCACCCCCTTCAAAACACTTTTCATTTGCTTCACCTGAACCACTCTCATTGGCAGAACTGTGATGAAAAACAAAACTCTATTGGCTGTTTTTTGTGAAAGGGGAGGAGCTACACTATGTTTCACTCTTTTTTTTTTATTTTTAAGTTGAGATTATTTTAAACATTGTATAAAACAATGCACTTTTCAAAGCACTTTATGGGACCTTTAAAACAGATGCTGCTTAATGGCCTTCTCATAATTTATCTGATTCCAGAGTATTTTAACTCGCTGATGGTGCACAACCAGGACGTCTTGTTGAACCTGGTTGATGAGCGTCCTCAGGACACACCCCTTATCACAGTATGCAATCATCAGTCCTGTATGGATGATCCACACATCTGGGGTAGGCGGAGCCTCAGGTGCATGTGTTTGAGTAACAAGCAATTTCTCCAACAACAACAACAACAATCACTTTTAACACAATTGAGGCCACAGGCTTTACAGTAGAAACTATAAATGCAGTCATGCTGTTTTTGTATGCTCTGATATCAGGAGTCCTTAAGTTCCGGCAGTTGTGGAACCTTAACAAGATGAGATGGTGAGTTAGTGAAGGCAGAATTTGGAGACTTGTGTAAAGGCGATGCAGTTCACGTAATATCATTTGTTACCTGCCTGTGCTTAGGACACCTACTGCCTCTGATATCTGTTTCACAAGAGAATTTCACTCCAGTTTCTTCAGCAGAGGGAAATGTGTACCTGTTGTTAGAGGTAACTTTATCTAATGCCATATGATTTAATTTCCCAGATCATAGTTTTTAAAATGTCTTAAAGGGTCACGAAACACCAAAACACATTTTTTGAGCTGTTGACAGTCGTATATGTGTCCCACACTGCTAAAAACACTATTAGGACACCTATATTTCACTAAAAAGTGTAAATTGGTTGTTTTTGCGTTATTTCAAGCAAATTCGTACTTCCGGTTTGAAACGAATTTTTGAAGCTGCGTCACGGTCATGACATAATAGCGTGTATTCCAGCGTGCAGACTGGACGTCTGTGCCAGAGTGTGTCTTATTACGTCTTACAGTGTGATGCGTTAATGCATGAGTAAAGCTTGGTTCAAACCAATCAGCGCGCTCTATTGTGCAACTTCATTAATATTCATTAGTCACAGTGTTTTCACGACAGAGACGCCACGTTGTGTTGGCAAAACAAGCGTGAAGTGTTGCTTTTATAGTTTGCTGCCGTTAAGTTTTGTTTTCATTTTCTCTCTGTGAGAGCACAGCTGGAGTCACGTGTGGATTAACAGTGTACGCGACGCTCGACAACAATAACTTACGTGTCTAAGGAGGATTATTGTTTACCTGAGAGCTGTTCTCATCTCCAAACGCTGAGATCTGGATTCGCTTGTAGTATTCTCTTCATAAAGACGCAGCTCTAGTTACTGGTGATTGTCCTGTCTCTACAGATTTGGTAAGTGAGCCACCAGTGCTCTTTGTTTATTCAGTTTGTTCATATCGAACTAAGTTAACTATTGCACCGAGTATAAACACGTTAGCATCACAACCAAACTTTAACCTCGTGTAGGGTTTTTACCGCATTTTGTGACCGGAATAACACACGCGGCTTTCTGACGCTACCTGCCGTGTGCATCTAAGTTTCCTGGAAATGCTGAGGGTTTTTTTTCTCTCATTCGCCGTGCGTTATCAAACATTGCATGAAAAATACACGCTTAGAGCAGCTCCTCGAATCAAATATCTCGTTTGTCGCGAGGGGCATGAATGAATTCCCTAAATGAAAGAGCCAAACTGCAGTTAAAGTCCACCATTTAATAATTTGGCAAATAATTCGACTACACATGTCCATGTAGGTTAAACACCATCACTTTCTCCTGTCTGTGTATTTTGACTCTGAAACTCGACGTGCCCAAATAGACACTCCCACACCCTCCCACTTTAGTTCCTCCGACACTCCCCCCTAAACAGAGCTGGACACGCCCACTTTTCTGACTTTTTCCAAAGTAGAGGTGTGAAAACACCCTGCTGAAACGAGGGGGTTTCATGGCCCTTTAAGTAATCACAATTTAGTCAGTATTTATCATTACTGAAAATTGAAGTCTATAATGCAGTCTACATGTATGACATTAGACTTGCAAAAGCTGGGTTTGATTACAGGAGTTTTAGCTATATTTCCATCTCCAGAGAATCCTGGATGAAATCTTGTCCAAAACTACTGATTGGTTCGATTTTAGGTGCAGATTATTTAGTAGGGATGTAACAATATTGTAATTACCGTCATATCGCAATAGTAATTTTTTTTAAATATTACCGTAGTCGCATTACTCAATAAAACTATATTTCTGAGAAAAGTTTGCTTAGGCGAATGAAGCGAACGGGAGGTAGCGGGAACTACAATTCCCATCAGCCTAGGCGTGGCCATCATCCTTTGCGGTCTGTTGTCGCTACAGATTTAGTAATGCGGAAATGGAGTGTGCTGCTAGTAGCGGGGAAGAACAAGAGCTGGAAATGATCGAACCTAAAGCGGGTTTTAAATCAGATGCGTGGAAGCATTTCGGTTTCTTTCTAAAAAGATATGAAAAAGGAGAAAAGGTGACAGACAAAGAAAAAAACAGTATGCAGGCACTGCCAGACTGTGGTGAAATATAAGTTGGGGAATACAACTAAAAACAGTCGTGGGGACTGCAGAACTCAGCACACTTGTTAGATTGATGCAGACATTGACTTGTACCGCAAAAAGACCTCTATCTCACTCATGGCTTGTCCTCTCAAGTGGTGGAAAGACAATGCACAACGTTACCCACTGCTGTCAACCTTGGCTAAATCATATCTCTCTGTCCCAGAAACCTCAGTCCCAAATGAGAGGCTTTTTTTTCTGTTGCAGGGGACATTGTAAATGCCCAGAGATCCCAGCTTTTACCAGATTATAGTTATATGATAAATTAACACTTTTGGCACTTTTTTCAAGTCTTTTCATTAGATTTGTTTTTCCTGTAAATTATTCAATAAATACCGTACCGTGCCATTCATACCGAGGTTTTGTGAAATTCTGATACTGTTACATCCCTATTCTTTAGTAATGCGAGCCATTTAAGGATAGAATCAGCAATCTTTTAGGACACAAATCAGAGCTTCCCTGATCATATCAAACTTGTTTAATATTTAGGACTTTAAACCATGCTGAAATCAAAGCTGTTCTACCCTATTCCGCATCACCAAAGCCAAGAACTGGAGAGAATCATGCTGGTTTTAATAAATAAAAATAAGCTATATCATTTTTAAATACTCCTTATTTTTATCAGCCACATTTATAGTTATTTTTATTCCGGCGTGCAGATATTTTACACATGTACTGTTACTGTAGCAGCCAGTACTAAAACGTTACCAGTTATCTCCATAAACCAAAGTGATTAAACATTTTAAACTTTGTTTTTTGAAAAAACTATTGTAATAAGGATAGTAATAATTTTATATGTTTTATATGTAATAATTTATTCAATATAAAATTATTAGGCCCACGTCTAGTCTTATAACCTAGAAAGAGTAGGCTAAAAGATTCTATTTTTTACAGAGAGCGATAACTGCAGACCAGGGTTTATGTTGCATGAATTATATTTTATAAATTATCTTTTTCTACACGGTATTTGGCTTATCATCTTAAGGCTCAAGGTTTTTTTTTACATGCATTTTTTATTTCCCTTTGCTGTTTGGGCTTATTGGAACTCAATTAGAATAAATATCCAAGTATCATCTTTTGAAATGATTTACTTTTAGAGAAAAATGATGTCCATATATGTGGACTTGTGGTCCAAATTTACATAAAACACTTTTTCCCGATTTGTTTTTAATGCATATTTTATATATATATATATATATATATATATATATATATATATATATATATATATATATATATATATATATATATATATATATGTATGTATATATAATATTTATTATTATTATTATTATTATTTTATTTGTATTTTTTTCATGCTTTGTCTTTCGGAGAGTAAAAACAACATTTTTGTTCCCATTTGAACAGTTAAAAAAAGGGTTTAGGACATTTCATATGCTGCAAAACAGTTGCAGGGTAAAACTGTATGTCTCAAACAAAATATAAAACATTCAAAGTATTTTAAATAGCCACTTAAGAGCTAAAAATGTGCTGTCAATATATGAGGACACTCAGACACTAGGAGGTTATTTTATGTGCAACAAGTAACAATTTTGCTTTTGAACATAGCTATCTAATTTCTATTGCCAGTCAAAGACAACCAGCCATTGCAGCAAAATGGCAAGATTTAAATGGACATATTGCGCATATCAACACACAACATTTCTTCATTCTGCATTCTAGTATCGCCGGCTCGCGCCCTGCTCAGACCTTTGGCGTTACATGCACATAAACTGTCTTTTGACGAATAGATGATGTTACACATTCTTGAATATTTTTGAACACAGTATTGACTATTTTGTAAGTAAAACCTGGAAATTGAAAGTGACTTATTGAATTTACAAGTACGAAAACGTGTTTGAAATGTTTTTAGTTGAAATGTTCACAGCTTAAATAAACAGCTGTGGTAAATTCCAGGACCTAAAAACACAAACCCTGCAATTTAAGTTAAAAATGCAAGAACTTGTTAATACGGTGCATTATTTTTTTCAGGTCGTGCTATTCAACAAGCTTTTTAATTCAATACTTTTGCCATTGATTTTGTTCCATAATTTATGACCCAGATGTGTAGCCTATAAACAAAATGCTTAAACAATAAATTGTGCTTTTGAAAAATGTAAATAGTATATACAGTATTTTCTGTTGGCTGTGTTTATGATATGGGATAATTTTTTTCACGCTGTAGGCAGTGCAACAGGTAACAATTTTGCTTTTGAACTAGATAGCCAGCGCACAGCGCATCCTGGCATTATGTAGATATTATTAGCTTATTATTATTATTATTATTATTTTTTTATTATTATTATTGGACATTTGTTTGGGGGTAATGTGCTCTTTTCAACAAGCACCATTTTTTTATTCTGCATGCTATTTGCTATCTGCATGTGTGCGAGAGAGCAATGAACTAAGAAAACTGAACAGACGATAAATAATATGCGTGTGTATATACCCCATTTATTTAAGTTTATAACCATCGGTAACAGCTACGCAAACAGGGACGTATTTTGAGTGCATGCGAGTGCAGTGGTTTGCACAAGGTGGCAGTTGCTCAAATATTGTAAATAAATGTATTATTTTAAAATATTATAAGCATATAATAAATAATAATTCTTAATCAAGCATGTTATTCTGCGATCAGGTGATGTGCTCCATCAGGAACGATAATCTTAGTAATATCTTACAGTGTGTGCTGTGTTATGGTTTTTATATCGTGTAGTGTGTTGTTCACATTTAAGATTTGAGGTAATAAAATCACAGAAGATTCTCCTTATGAAATTTTCAAATTAAGGATTTTAAAACTCTTGTAGTCTGAGCCCGGCTTAAGATTTCTCATGGCTTGATTGATTTGCTGTTGTCCTCATTTGTATGTTGCTTTGGATAAAAAACAAAATCTGGAAAATAATGAAATGTAAATGTAAACAGGCCATCTGTCCTCTGTTTTTTAGGTGATGGAGTATATCAGAAAGGAATGGATTTCCTTTTGGAAAGGCTGAATCAAGGGGAATGGATACACATATTTCCGGAGGGTATAGACAGGCAAACTCATGTTTTTTTGGCCTTAAAATTACATATAAATAAATTATATATATATGATAATTATATATATATGATAAATATATATATATATATATATATATATAAATATATATATATACATATGTATATATACATATATACATATATATATATATTCTCCTTATAGGTAGAGTTAACATGTCTGGAGAGTTCATGAGGATAAAATGGGGTAAGATGGTTTTGCTCTAATAATAAGATGCTACTTGTTTGCCCTTTTGATAAGGGCAATCAAGTAAATTTTTTATTTTTAATTTTTTTAAGGAATTGGACGTTTGATTGCAGAATGTTCTCTTCACCCAATAATTTTACCTATGTGGCATATAGGTAAGTTGTGCAGGCGCTTTTGAATGACATGACATGCAGCTATAATGCATAACTTAATGAATTTATATTAGTGCAACTTTCTTATGAGGGCCAAAAGCATCACTTTAACACTTGGCGGAATGAACCGCCAACTTATCCAGCACATTTTTACGCAGCGGATGCCCTTCCAGCCACAACCCATCTCTGGGAAACATCCACACACACACACTCATACACTATGGACAATTTAGCCTACCCAATTCACCTGTACCGCATGTCTTTGGACTGTGGGGGAAACCGGTGCACCCGGAAACCCACGCGAACGCAGGGAGAACATGCAAAGTCAATACAGAACACCAACTGAGCCGGGGATCGAACCAGTGACCTTCTTGCTGTGAGGCGACAGCACTATCTACTGCGCCACTGCATCGCCCTGAACTCTTCATATTTGGCAGCTAATAATAAATATATGCTTTATATGCAATTAAAAAAAACATGAACAAATTAGGAAAATATCTTTATTGGTTTGACAGCGAACGCTTTGCAAATCTTCACAAACACATAAAAGAAAAAGAAAAAAAACGTGCTGCAAATGATCAAATAGCACAGAACAGAAATATGTCAAGGGGGCCCAAAAGCATGACAAACCCAGCTATGTAGGTTTTAGTTATTTAGGCAAATACTATACGAAAGACAAGGGAATGGTGCTATCAGGATGCTAAATAAAACAAAAAGCTCAAAAGATCACCTACAACTTCACTGAGCAGTGATCACGGCACAATAAACAAATCCCAGCCAAGTCCGTCATGTTTTTGGGTCCCCTTGAAACGTTTTCATTGTGTTCTGTGCTATTTGCTTGTGTTGTGAGAAATTGCAGCCAAATTTCTTGCCACGTTTGCCAGAGTACCCAGGGGGTCTTAAAAGCATTGAAAAAGTCTTAAATTTGATCTCAAATTAAGGCCTTAATAGACTTGTGTATGGGGAATTCACAGTTTTAACCCAAAGAATGACCAGTCTGTCAGATGAAGAAGAGCCAGAGTCAGAGATTCAAATAAATAAATGAAGTTTACTGATGATAGTTTGATGATAGCCAGCTTCAACACTCGCAATGAGTTCCTTCATCACTAATTTTTCTCTTGTTCATTGTACTGTTCAATTTCAGGTATGAATGATGTTCTACCAAATGAGACTCCATACATTCCTCGAGTAGGACAGGTTAATACACTTTTATGTTGTTGTTGTCATTGTCACACTTGACAGAATGGTTTTACACTGAGTGTCCTTTCCTTTTGTGTAGCGGATAACTGTTTTAGTAGGAAAACCGTTCACAGTCAGGCATCTGGTCAATGCACTGCGAGCTGAAAACACGAATCCGGTAGGTGGTTGAGTTGACACGTACAAGTTATGCCTATGTAGTTTTGCAGTTGGGTACATAATTGCTGCTCTCCACAGACGGAAATGCGGAAAACAGTGACGGACTATATTCAAGACGAATTTCGCAGTTTGAAAGCCCAGGCAGAGGCTCTTCATCATAGGCTACAGAACCACACATGAAGAAGATCGCAAGATCCCTCATCACAGGGGTAAGAAAGTTCAGTCTTGGAGAGCTGCAGAACTTCCCTTGTCAAACGCAGCTGCATGAGTTAATCAAGGTCTTGAAAGCTACAGGCAGGTACAGTTTAATCCAGACTGGGTCAAAACAAGACTGCAAGACTCCAAGACTGAACTTGCTCACCTGTGCCTCATCATTTTTTTAGCCCATCAGCCAACACCTGCCTTACAACTCAGCTAAAACTCTGAGCAGCGGAAATACACACAGATGACTTCATTTAAAGAGGATTATGCACTCGTTTTAATGAATATTATATCCTTGATAATGTGAACATGGATGTAATGTGGGTGCATCAGATAATCTCCTTAATCATCAATCTGAACATGGTGATTTTGTTTGATAAATCAGTTGTCATTTCTGAATCAATAACTACGGTCACTGATGTGCATGAGCATGATTTACAATGAGAATGCTGAAGCACTAAATATTTTTAAATACAGAGAGAAATACTTTGAATGACAAAACTAGCGGTTTTTGTACTACAGTTTTTATTTTTGATGCGGTGTTTGACGGTATTTAATACAAAATACTGACTGTAAATACAAAACCTTAATCAGTTTTTTTCTCAGGTGTACCTATGCATTTTATATCTGACAACACATTTTGTAATTTTAGCTTGCCAGTGTGGGACAGAGAAAACATATAGTGATGTACTATGATACAAAATCAAAACTACTCCTACATCAACAAAAAGATGCATTGACCTAGACTAAAAAGCAAGTCAAATGTATTATTATTTTGTAAAATACATTTTTAGGAAGAAATACACACCTGAAGCTATTTCTAAAAATGTATAATAAAAATGAAAGCTGGCCAAACTGTGATTTATTTATAAATTATGTGATGAAAATGTGAATGGAATGGACAATGGAAAATCTGAATAAAAGTTTTCTTACTGCTGCTTATCTGTGGGATGAATTGTTGGAGTGAATTGATAAAGCGACCTTTAAAGAAAGCATTCATACTTGATTTTTGATCAATGTCAGCAAATTATTCAATTAGATTAACTTATGATGATTAATTACACTAGTAGCATCAGTACATGAAATATTGTGTGTGTGCGTGCGTTCATGTGTGTGTGTGTGTCTGTGTGTGTGTGTGCATATAGTTATTTTCAACAATTCCTTAAGGATTAAATGTCACACCACCAGAACTAAAAGCTTCACATGAAATCATGACAAAATGACTATAATTTAAAAGTGAAAGTAGAGTTACAATGAGATTTTATTTGTAGATCTCCAGGAAATAGAAAGAAGGTCAAATGATGTCACCAGAGAGATGATTATTTCAACATAATAGATATATATTTACTTCCTTTTCTCCTCTTTAACATTATATATATATATATATATATATATACATACATACACACACACACACATATATATATATATATATATATATATATATATATATATATATATATATATATATATATATATATATATACTTCTTTTTTCCCTTTAAACATTATTTGGAAATTTGCTATTTAACATACTCACACAGGCCTACTATTTCTTTTAAGGTAAGACAAAGCAAGCCATCAATATTTTATCATTGGTTTTATAACTGGCTAAATAAAATCAAAAAACATTACTAAACAAGTCATGCTGTGTCTGTTTACATTTAAGAATAAAACAAACAGCAATGCATAAAGTAGCGTTTTTAAAACAGATTACAAATTCATCTCATCACGCGGTCGTGACATCACGGCTCCGCCGCTGAAGATGGCCGGTTGTGACGTCAGGGCTTATCGCACTGAAGATGGCTGCTGTAGGGAGAGTCTGCGTCAACGCCAGGATGATTTTACACGTTTTTATCTGTTTGTTCGCAGCAGCGAAGAGTGATGAACAAGTCCCGCTGGTCGCATGGGCGAGTGACGGGTAAAGGACGCATGTTATAAGAGTACAGTCACGGAGAATCGTGAAAGCGATGGTTAGCTTTCATGCTTTGCTAGCTGAATGACGCGGTCGCTGTCCAGTTCTGAAAACATGAGGAACACATTTAGTATGAGCTTAAACGTTTGAATCATCGAACAGTCTGAGTCATTTACTAATTTATCTCGATATTTATGTATATATATATACTATATTGTTGAGGACTGTCACTTGTGTGGTAATGTTATGTTGGTAAAAAAAAAAAACTTGGTTAAAAGGTTTAGTTGGGGAAAAAAACACGTAATCTCCGTTTGATTGTTATAAATAGATGTATTGGAAAGGGGTTCATTGGCAGCTGGCTTTAGCCCTTATTGGGGGATTTTTGTAAAAGCTGAACAGTATTACATATTTGGTTCAAGATAACCATAATATGCAGTTGTAGTATAATCATGGCATGCGTTTTTTCTAGGCCTGTCTTCTTACAGTAGTTTGTGCTTGTGTAGGTTTGTCTTGTCTCCTGTGAACGCGCCGTCAGCAGGTCACACTGTGTCTATGGATGAGCTGGAATCATACCTGAACACAGCTTTGAGCGCAACACCTCATAATCTACTGCTCTTCCTGCAGGATAAAGTAAACACTACATTACACATTACACAAAAATATAATTTTTTTTATATCAGTATTATAAAAGGAGATGTAAAAGACTGTAGAAAGTATATACTCAGAAATTGACTCATTTGTTCATTTATTTAGACATTCCGGGCAAATGTTTGATTAAATTTATAGAAATTTTAAATAGATATTGATCAAATATAATACTTTTTAAAAAATGAATGATTACATGTCCAACATAAAATATGTTGCGAAATAAAATGCACAATGTAAATATAGTACTTTCAAGATTACAACTTTCTCGCAATACAGTTATTCATGTTTCTGTCTGCATTCCCGTATTGACATGTAATTCATTCTTTTTTTTTCCGGCTTAGTCCCTTTATTAATTAGTGGTCACCACAGCAGAATAATTCGACAACTTATCCAGCATATGTTTTATGCAGCAAATGCCCTTCCAGCCGCAACACAAAGCTGGGAATCATCCAGCTTATTCAGTTCACCTATACTGCATGTCTTTGGACTGTGGAGGAACCTAGAGCACCCAGAGGAAACCCACGCGAACACAAGGAGAACATGCAAACTCCACACAGAAATGCCAACTGACCCAGCTGGGGCTCGAACCAATGACCTTCTTGCTGTGAGGCGATCGTGCTAATCACTGCGCCACCGTGGTGCCACATGGCATGTAATATTGCTTATAAATTACGTAATTTAAATAATCATATAAGTTATAAAAAAGTATTACTGTAAACAATGCATTTTGTGGCACCACGAAATAAATAGCAGAGCATAATATGAGATGATAGACTTTTTATTTTGTCCATTCGATATGTATTGTCATTGTACAGCCATAAATGTCATTTATTTCAAATAATGACTTTATTCTCATATGAATAATTCAGTCATGTCTTTCAATGATGAGTGATTACTAAAGCATGCCAGGGCATTACCACATGTTGATAAAATACAATAAAAATATGCAATAAGTCGAATTTCAAATATTCCTATATTGGTGGCATGGTCAGTTGGTATTTCTGTGTGGAGTTTGCATGTTCTCCCCATGTTTGCGTGGGTTTCCGGGTGCTCTGGTTTCCCCCAAAACCCAAAGACGTGCTATAGGTGAATTGAGTAAACAAAATTGGACGTAGTGTATGTATGTGTGTGTGAATGAATGTATGGGTGTTTCTCAATACTGGGTTCTGGCTGGCAGGGTACCCACTGCATTAAAAAAATACTGAAATAGTTAACAGGAATAGGAATAGACTAAGCTAAAGAAGCAAAATAAACGAATGTTCCTTTATTTTCACTTAATGATAATGTGTCATATGATTCCGTCATACACTGCATTTAAAAAAACACACAACATTATGCATTTCTGAATACTGCACTATTAGAAACTCTGGCAGAAGAAATGTTTTTAAAGGCATTGGCAATGCTACTACTATGTGCTTCAAAAATTCAAGTGAGACTACAGTTTTATTTTGGTGAATGTTGTCTCTGTTTCATTCAGTTGAGTGTTGATGACTTTACAATGTATGGAGGAGTATTTGGAAACAAACAGGATAGTGTCTTCCAGAATCTTGAGGTACGTTTCTGTGTTTTCCATCTGTCAATTTTTGAAATACTGCTAATGATTCGCACACATTCACACGCATTATGATACATCTGTAAAAAAATATTTGGCTGTTTTTCTTTTCTTAAAATGACTTAACTTGAACTGCTGTAAAAAAAAATTGAAAAAAAATATATTTTTTAAGGTACTTTATGAAATGTTGTCATATGGCAACAATGTCCAATAGTGGATCTAGCTTAGAAATTTCGAATTTAAAACTTTCCTTATAATTAATTTTTTTTTTATTTGACGAACTGTGAGCATCTCAGTTAGAACAAAATGAATCATTAAGCGGTTTAAACGAACTATGAGCATCTGAGTTATTGAAACCGAGTGAATCATTGAATTGTTTGACGAACTGTGAGCATCTCAGTTAGAACTGAATGAATCATTGAACTGTTTAAACAACTGATCATCTTGATTACTATAACTGAATGAATCATTCAATTGTTTAAACCAAGTGAATTATTGAATTGTTTGACCCGAGTGAATCATTGAAATGTTGAATCGACTGAATCATTGAACTGTTTGAATTGTTTATATTGAATTTCTGTATAACAGTAATGAATGTAAGGTTCTAACAAATTGATGTGAATCAGTGGTTTAATCTTGTGCATGGATCAAGTTAATTCCAAGTCGACAGAGGTACCTCTTTATTTGGTTTATTATTATTATTATTTTGTTTTGTGCATTTGATTGGTTGAATTATTCAAATGCTTGTTGGAATGGGTTTGAAAATTTTTCTGTTGTAAAACATGTATAGAGTGTTATTTTGAGGTTGTAAGGAGACCTAATTGAATAATAGTAGAATGCAATTTAAACTGATTTAGTCTGATTTATTTTGTCTTTAGCTCTATAAGGGGTTACTAGGGTTATTGCACTGCTAGTGTATCCCAGGTAGCACTGACTTTATCAATATATATTTTTTATTTTTTACTTATAAATATATAAGTTGGCACCCCTACCCAGTCACAACGCTACAAATGCTTCACTTGTTATTTTAATGAGTGAATCACCTGTGATGCTTCTGTGACACAATTGAGTTTTCTGTAAGGGTAGATTCAGTATACTCTTTATAAAGCATTAGGGTTTCCCAAGGTTAATTGCTTATGATAAAATGACCATAAAATGGCTTTTTAGCCCAAATAAAAAGTATCTCAAATTTTGTTGTGTTCACAGGCGGCTCTAGTGCCCTCCTCCTCCTTATGGTTGCCATCTGTGTCATCGTCTGCAGCCGCTTTGGTTCCTACACTTCTCCAGAATCAGATTGATGCTGCTCCTCTATACATGAACCCAGAAACACTTGCTCAACTCCGCCTTAATGCGTCTGTTGCTGCCTTGCTGGTGTTTCGCCTCCCTTACAGTGGCGGGTAACCTATTCTCTTTAACAATACCTGGAGTTTAGAAAGAAATATAGCAAACTCATATAATGCTCCGTTAATTTATAAACACAATACGTATTTATAACAATCTGTTACACAGTGGGAAACTATTATGACCTCATTACAGTGCTTTCTAGTTATCATCTCCAAAAAAAGTTGTTTTACATATTAATTTCAGTTTTGAAATCCTGGAGTATCTGAAGAAACTTGAATAGTAGGATATACTTTTACCATCCTCCACAATGTAATATAGAAAGTCATTATAGAATTAAGCCCTTATTTTGCCAGTATGCACAGGGAGAGTTACCCTAACTAGAGGTGGTGCTTTTAGAAAAGGCACACATCAAAAAGTTGAGGTCAGCGAAACATGAGCTAATGAAGCACAAATAAAAGAGTGAGAGCATGAATTACAGTGATTTTTAGATGTGATTATTCAAAATCTATACTCAAGTAAAAGTAGTGCTTTTAGTACTGAATTTTTGTTTTACATAACTAATTAATTAAAAATAAACTAAAAAAATTCTACCTTTTCTATCTGTCTATCTGTCTATCTATCTATCTATCTATCTATCTATCTATCTATCTATCTATCTATCTATCTATCTATCTATCTATCTATCTATCTATCTATCTATCTATCTATCTATCTATCATCTGTCTGTCTGTCTGTCTGTCTGTCTGTCTGTCTGTCTGTCTGTCTGTCTGTCTATCTATCTATCTATCTATCTATCTATATATATATATATATATATATATATATATATATATATATATATATATATATATATATATACATGCATACATACATACATAAAAGTACAATTCAGTGCTTTTAGTACTGATTTTTTTGTTTTACATAACCAATTAATTAATATAAACAAAAAATTTAATTTAAACTAAAATTTACTCGAGTAAGAGTTAAAAAAAGTATTCTATGAGTTAGGGTAATTAGGCAAGTTATTGTATAACGATGGTTTTTCTGTAGACTATCGAAAAAAAATTGCTTAAAGGGGCTAATAATTTTGTCCCTAAAATGGTTTAAAAAAAAATTAAAAACTGCTTTTATTCTAGCCAAAATAAAACAATTAAGACTTTCACCAGAAGAAAAAATATAATCAGACATACTGTAAAAATTTCCTTGCTCTGTTAAACAGAATTTGAAAAATATTTTTAAAAATTTGAACTGTATGTATATGTGTGTGTGTGTGTGTGTGTGTGTGTGTGTGTGTGTTTGTGTGTATATATATATATATATATATATATACATATATATATATATATATATATATATTCACATAATTCAATATAATTTGTTAGATGAGAATTTCTTAAAAGGTTAATTCAATGTATAATTTAATATAATTGAATGTAAAAACAAGAAATACAGAGCAAATCAAAGAAAATCCCATTTATTTTGGATTTCTTTAAACCTGAAAGGGAGATGAAAACCCAAAACCTGTTATCATGAGAACTGTAATTAGTCTTTTTCTTGCAGGGCTGATATGATGTCTACTAAAGAGGTGCTCAGTGGAAATGGTATGCAAATTCAGATCAAAGTTACTTTATATAAAACTAATCATTTAGTATATTGAAAGATACATTTATGAAATGGAAGATATTAATGAAATGATGTTGTTTGTTGTAGATGAGGTAATTGGTCAGGTGCTGAGTATCATGAAAGCTCAGTCGGTACCGTATACTGCAGTGTTTACTGCACTGTGGCCCTCAAGGGTAAGACACTACTCATTTATATAATTTTAGAAAATTAAATAAAAATGGTTAATTTGTTAAATAACCTATTTGTTTATGTTGTTTAGCTAAATGCATTTTAAATGAAATGTGCACTGGGCCAGATTTACCTACCATCAGTGCAAACTCCTTTTTGTTTTTCAAACTTTCCTCTTTTTTTGTTGCATGTTTGTCACACTTTATTGTTTAAATTTCATTTTAGGATGAACTATTTTTTTTTTTACTCACCGTACTCTTGATGTCTATATTCAATATATTATCCAAGCATAGTGGTTATCATTTATTTTGCCTCATTTGAAGTTGAAGTGGCTGGTATTTGTTTTAGGTGGTTGAGGAGGCATCTCCAGCCGTGCAGTCTGTATGGTCACGATCGCTACTGCAGTCCCGTCGGGACGAACTGCCAGCTCCGAACCCACCTTTGGAATTTAAAGAGAAAGGATCCACCTGCATTCTCATGTGGGCGGAGAAACTGGTGGTTAGCCAGTATCGCTCAGGAAAGTGGGAAAGGCATGACCTTACCTCCCAGACATTTGGTAAAGGTGTAGAACCCAACTTGTCTGGCTCATCCTGCAATGACACTCACTCCCGGTAAATATTTCCCAGCTGATTGTGCTTGTCATGATTTATTTTTAATGACCTAGTTTGAGGACCATGACTTTTGATTTCTTCTCTTTTTGACCGTTGACATACAATGTCACTTATTTTTCAAAAACTCCTATTACAATCACTGAAGCGGTTAAATTGAAATTCTCCTCTTTATATTTGCAGTTTTATATAATAGGTTTAAATAAAACTTTACTTACACTTATGTACATGAAAAGCTTGCATGTATGTTAAAGGTGCAGTAGGTGATCTGCCAAAATGCTAACCGCTTAGCATATTATCTTTGGACGGTGGGGAGGGACTGTGATTCAAAGCCACACCCCCTGAAATCGCAAACGCACACACCGCGTCACAACAGCCGACAGACAACCCACTAGTTCATGTCATTCGCCTGTTAGTTAGTGCCAGCGCCGCGCAGGAATTACATGAAATACTTTTCCACACTTGCATGCTATTTCAGAGCGAATATTCAGAGTAGCAAGGTTAACAGTATAGGAAGGCTATCATTGTTCAAAAATGACCCAATGTGAACATAAAAGCAACTTCAGCTCAATAAAGCAGGTTAGGCGGATTAGCGCTATTTACTGGTGTTTTGTTGTTAAACTAAATATAAATCTACATTATAGATGCTGACAAAGCACCTTATGAAACTGAAAATTATCACATCAATCTTTCACCAGGAGATTTCAGTGGCTGAACAAGACGTCTGTGCATATAAGTCATTCATAACAAAACACAATCTAACATAAAATAGTTTCAAAACAGAACATTACCTGTCTAACAGTAATACTTCAGCCATGGTGTCGTCGTTCCTCCAGCGGGCTAAAGTAACTCCAATATTGATTCAGGTTTTTAAAAGTTTCAATTCAGCTTTTGATTTCTCCTGGTCTGTCTCGTGACCGCGCGGCCGCTTTAAGGGCGAATTATACCCGCGCCTGGCTTTACAGTAATCGGCCCGAGCTCGTCTGTCCTTTGGCGGCTCCGTCTCGGCATCTGCGAGCGGCCCGCAGCTCGCTCGGAGCGCATGCGTTTGTGATGCAGACAGGCACGCGCTAATGGCGGATCTGCGTGAACAGATGCGCAGAAGTCTTAATCTACATTTGCTGTCAGACAGTCTGACCTGCCTATCGGAATTAAGGGCGATGACGGTCCGACTCTATTTAATTGGGTAAACATTTTTTAGTTTTATGCTTTACCCAGAATATAAAAATACATATAAACACATTTAGATCATTTACTGTAACCATTACTATTGGACTATGAAGAGACTTTCAACCAGCACAACAAAAAATGTTTCTGAAGACAATCACCTACTGCACCTTTAAGTAGACATACGTGTTTACTACTAATTTTCAAACAAACATATATGAAAAGCTAGCACACAATGTGAAATGCAGACTGAAACATCTAATGTAACATGCGTACATACAAATCTTTTGCCTTGCAATCATCTGTAGAATTGCCAAATATGTTCTCTGTAGCACGTTTTGTTTTCAAAAATCCACTAGTGGGCGCCATGTACATTTTTGACAATCTCAAATACATTACTGTGGCATGTTTTCTCATGTGTGCTGCCAGAGGTTGCTGTATACCAGGGATCACCAAACTTGTTCCTGGAGGGTCGGTGTCCTGCAGATTTTAGCTATAACCCTAATTAAACACACCTGAACAAGCTAATCAAGGTCTTATTAGGTATACTAGAAACACCCAGGCAGGTATTGTTGAGGCAAGTTGGAGCTAAACCCTGCAGGGCACTGGACCTCCAGGAACGAGATTGTTCACCCCTGCTGTATACTTTTCTGCATATATTAGCATATATAAACTTGACCCACATATCCCTTCCCTAAACCCGAACGATAGTGTTTTCAAAATCAAACTAGAATAAAAAAGGCATCCCAAGGAGCCTGTGTTGAAACATATTGCAAAAAATTGGGATATTTTGTAAAACGTTATAAAATCAAGAATAATTCATTTCTTTATTTATTTGTCAAATGTACATAAGCAATGCAAATAAATTGTATTTTTTAAAATGTAAACAAATTTGGATATCAATGGCTGCGCACACTCTAAAATAGTGGGGACAGAGTCATGTTTGGCATGGTTTTACATCAACTTTTTTTTTTATTTACAATGATTAATCATCTGGAAAATGAGGATACTAACTGTTAAATAAAACAAATCCTCAATTTTTCCCCAGATGCTCAACAGTCTGTTGTCATAATGATCTGTCTTCCTTTTCATGAGTGGCCTTGAAATGTAGTAAAATCAACATCATTGACAAAGCACAAAATCACCAAGAGGCGACACTATGATGCTATATGAGAAACAGCCACTAGATGCCGCTGGTGTCACGCGGCAGCCTTTATGGAATGAAAGTTCCAGTAGAACAACAGCACAGATAACTAACATTAGACAGAATGAATTAAAATATTGAGTTAAATATGAGTTAAAATATTATATATTTATACACCCCATTGAAAAGCAACATTTTAAACAATATCTCGATGAAAAGAAAACAATTTTATAAATGTTTGAAAAGGCTAAGTTTCATATATCTGTTTAACTTATGAAAGGTTAACAAAATAACCTTAGTTACATTTTTTTTTAAAGTTTTACTTAAATTAGGGTGATGCAAAAATGAGTATTAAACATATCAAAGAGATGCTCAACTTAATGTCTCTTCAGAATTCCCCATATGTGATTTATTGGAATCAGATCAGGAGACATACTTATAATAATATTACCATAGATGTGTATGTGTGTGTGTATTTATATGATGAATTAATGTGTCAGAATTCAATCAAATTGGACAAAGTGACTATTGACATAAAAACGTACTTAAAAAAATACTATATACAATTATAACATTAAATACTGTAATAAAAAGTGTCAGTCTGTTATTAACATCCCATTTTAAAAGTCAAATTGACCATATCGGTATTAATTTAGATTATGCCAGTGTCTAAACTATTAAATTAAATTAAGTTCACCTAAAAGTGACAGTTCCAAGAAAATAAGTATAGTTAAAATATAAACAGTGTGTAATATAATCTATTAAAAATGCTGAAGGTTGTGATAGAAAGCGTTGTATTGTCGTCTTTCAGGTTGTATCTCAGCTTTTATCTCAGCTTTATTTTTAAATAAATAAATAAAAAACAAAGCAGCTACTTGCCATCGCGATAGCAATAAGATCCAATGAACGGCTGATCACTCTCACTCCAAAATGGCAGAATTGTGGGGCTGTTGCTGGGCGCTGCTGTTGCAATGGAACGTTCTATTGAGTGTCGCCTCTTGGTGATTCGAAGCTCTTTGCCATTAATCAGTGCACGCGTTAAAGAATTTGATTGTTTTTAAATGGACAGTATATTTATAAGTAAAAGAAAGTGTATGCATGTAAACCTATCGAAGGAGACTTTAAAAATAAACAAGAAAAAGAAAAACCTATTATATAGTGTAGGCCAGAGGTGCTCAATCCTGTTCCTGGAGATCTACCTTCCTGTACAGCAGGGGTGTCCGAAGTCGGTCCTGGAGGGCCGGTGTCCTGCTGATCTTAGCTCCAACTTGCTTCAACACACCTGCCTGGAAGTTTCTAGTACACCTAATAAGAGCTTGATTAGCTGCTTCAGGTGTGTTTGATTAGGGTTGGAGCTAAACTCTCCAGGACACAGGCCCTCCAGGACCGAGTGTGGACATCCCTGCTGTACAGTTTAGCTCCTACCCTGATCAAACCCACCTGAACCAATTAATTAGGACCTGAAATCCACTTGATAATTACAGACAGGTGTGTTTGATAAGGGTTGCAACTGAAATCTGCAGGAAGGTAGATCTCCAGGAACAGGATTGGTCACCCCTGGTGTAGGCACTTTAACTGCTAATGTTTTAATGGGCCGGATCATTTAATACAGCCATGTCTGTATAAAGTCTTCATTATTGACCCAGAATAGATTTTCCATTTTGCCATTGGTTATTGTTTTTTGTTGTTGTTTTCAGTCATCTTTTATTGTTGCTAGTTATTTGATATCCCCTTGGATTGTCACGGCTTTTAAATGTTTACAGTTCACAAACTGTGTCTTTAAATGCAGGCTGGTTCTGAATTATGAAGATGTCCTGAATTTTCGCTCGTTCAAGCTATTGTAAGTTTCTTATTTTCTGTCATTCATACAATCACATTCTCTGCCTGCTGAGCTTGAACCTTGTTCAACATTCTCTTCAGATTAGTTATGAACCGCCGTCACTATAAGGTTTCTGCTCGCCATTGGTTCACTATGGATCTGGTTCAGCTGGAATATGATGGGAAAAAAGCCTCATTCAATGGGAGCCGTCACATCTACGCTCCGTCTGAGTACTCATACCGATGTGAGTCCGTAAGCAGTTCCTACTATGCTCAGCTGTCACCGCACTCAGACAAGGACAATGCCAACGACTGGCAGATCTCTTTTGAGAACTTCCAGGTAAGTTATGAAACCAAAGGCAACTGTTTATGCTAAATTTCGATTATCGAATCAAAAAATAGAATCATCGATGCTGACACGCCCCCATGTCACGTCAGCTTGGCTTTCCAAGCGGGAAAAAAACAGGCTTGTTGAAGTGCTTGTTAAACTGCAGACGCAGGAGACCCGTCGATAGAGCTTAAACCCTCTCCTCTTTCAAGGAAGTCGCCGGTGTGGAAGCATTTTGGATTTCCAGTGAGTTATGTTGACAACGTTCGTGTTGACGACAAAAAAAACACAGTTTGCAAGCTCTGCTATGTACGTATTAGGGTTCGTCCGATAGACAACACCGGCATCGCGATCCTCCGCCCGCCCCCGTTGCAAATCCGCTCGTGAAAAGTACACACTCAGGCCCCGTTTACACTAATAGGTCTTTGTTTTTAAATGGCATTTTAGAACGACAACGATTTGACAACCACAGTGGCGTGTAGCAATTCTGAGCAGCCCTCCTTCCTCACTACCTCTGAAAACGCACATCACATGACCACACACACTCATTCACACGCAGACACAGACGCATACACAGTCATGCACTCGAGACAGCAGGTCCAGGAAGTCAGAGGATCAGTAGACTGCTTCAATCTTTCACTCACTTGCACTCAGTCATTTTAGCGAACACCTCAGATACTGTTGGCTGGTTCCTGTTGGTTGTGCACCTTTTTTACCGACGGCATTATAACGACACAGATCACTGCCTATTCACGAGTCCCGCAGAAAAAGTGATTGACAGGTGGTAATTATGTGTGTATCTTGCCTTTATTCATTTACTGTATGATTTGTTTATGGGTAAAACAAAGACCATGCAGGTCAGATAGTTTAAACGGTAGGCCACAAATAATGAATTCGTTAGTAATTAATTAACTATTCATAATCGAAAATCGAATCGAACCGTGACTTTAGAATCGAAAAAGTTATCGAATCGAGGATTTGGAGGATCGTGACACCCTTAATACTAATAATCTGTGATTTCCCAATATGACTTTAGACTCTAGACCAGGGGTCACCAAACTTGTTCCTGGAGGGTCGGTGTCCAGCAGATTTTAACTCCAACTCTAATCAAACACACCTGAACAAGCTAATCAAGGTCTTACTAGGTATACTTGAAACACCCAGGCAGGTGTGTTGAGGCAAGTTGGAGCTAAACCCTGCAGGGACACCGGCCCTCCAGGACCGAGATTGGTGACCCCTGCTTTAGACTTAGGTCCTAATTGCTGTAAGCAAGACAAATATCTTTCGTAATTCCTGGCAAAATATTATGCTGGACCATAAAACATCACTAAAGACATTTTAGAGCTCTTACAGTCTTGGCAAAGACTGTCTAAAAAAATTAAAACATTACAAAAAATCTTTTCAGACTAAGAATGTGAAATAGACACACACATCTACTTATACCCATACATCTATGAAACAGAGAAAAGCTTGATAATTTGTGCATCAAAATGTTTGAAATCAGTCATAATCCAGAAATTAGCACATAGCAGAGAAGGGCCGACACTATAAAACACTAAAGACTCTATTTTAACGATCTAGGCCAGTGGTCGCCAAACTTGTTCCTGGAGGGCCGGTGTCCTGAAGATTTTAGCTCCAACCCTAATCAAACACACCTGAACAAGCTAATCGAGGTCTTACTAGGTATACTTGAAACATCCAGGCAGGTGTGTTGAGGCAAGTTGGAGCTAAATCCTGCAGGGACACCGGCCCTCCAGGACTGAGATTGGTGACCCCTGATCTAGGCCCAAAGTCTAAAGCGCGGTGCAAAAGCATAAAGGGCGTGTCCGAATCCACTTTTAATATTTTAAGGACAAAAAAAATACACTCTGGGCTGTCGCACATGGTCTAACAGGTTGTGCTTATTTTCCTCATGAGTTATGGGTAAGGCCAGACGGAATCTGCGGACGTTTTTTTGCTATTTCTGCTGAGAATTTTGGTAAAAGTCTGCGGATTTCTGCGGAATTATTTTGTGAGTATCATAACTAAAATCTTAATATATGAAATAGAAAATAATATCTTTTTAACTTTTATTTAATGTTTACAATGCAAATCCAATTAGATTCACTTAATTTGGTAAATAAAGAAAGTTTGTCATATAATATATCTAGTAAAAGACAGAAAATATTACTGTACAAACTGCATTGTAAATAAATCAGATGAACATTTTCACATTAGTCGACACATTTCCTTTAAGAGTCAGTTGCGTCGTGACGTGGCGCATTTGCTATTTACATAGCGGACTTTGTAAGTGTAGAAACTGAACGCTTCACTAGTGAGAAAACAGTTAAACATAGCATCTGCAGCGCGAAGATAAAGAATGAGCCTCTTCCAATCCGCCTTTACTTTCACTTTCTCTCTTTCGGGGATAAGGAAACGGTGTTATACACTCCACTGAAGACATCCATTAGCTTACATATATAATTTTGTTTGTTAACCACAAACATCCATTGTTTTCAATTGGGAAAATAGATGTTAATTACTGCATAAATATTTATTACTAAGACAAAACTGTTTGAAAAAAAGTGAAAATAAATAGAAAAAACTTTTAATTGATTCATTTTACTGGAAAAATTTGAAGGTACTTTACAGGTCTCTTTTTGACTGTGATGAAGGATTAATCTTCTTTATTTCCTCCACAAATATGACCACAAGCTTTTTGATTTGTTATTTGAGTTTCTGAGAAACATAAAGCTGCAACTTTATTGGTTAAAACTACCCAAAATAAAAATAAAAAAACAGGCAGTGTTTAAAACTACCTTCCTTTAGCCAGATTCACAATGGTCAGCTTGTGTTTTATAATTGACAGTTTGCCGTTCATCTTTGCATAATTGTTATGATTAATGCTTTACACTACATGAAAGAGAGGTGAAACCTTGGATTGCTGTTTAACCAAGAATATTCCTGTCTCTCTCTCTCTCTCTCTCTCTCCGATGTGACAGATTCAGGGCTTTAATGTAGCAGGGAAGGATTTCTCTTATGCCAGTGACTGCGCCAGTTTCTTCACTCCTGGTATATGGATGGGGCTTGTCACATCTCTGCTCATGGTGCTCGTTCTCACTTATGGCCTGCACATGATCATGCAGCTCCGCACTATGGACCGCTTCGATGACCCTAAAGGTCCTGCCATCTCCGTTCCCCAGACTGAGTGATAGATTCAAAGATAGATGCAAAGTTAGTTCCTTTTTTCATCCTCACAGCACCCGTGTTTGCTTCGACTATACAAAAATGTGTGAATGTTATTCATTTCTTACCTATCATGTGACTGAGGTGGTGCTGGATTTTTTTTTTTTTTTTGGTGATAATCATTCAATAAAAACATGTTAATGATTGAATCTCAGGATCACATGTGCAGATCGTAAAACATAAAGATTATATATAATTAAAATGTCCATGAATTAAAAAAATAGTTACAAGAATTGCTATATTACTATTTAAACTTGACTTCAAAGTTGAAAAAGCTATGGTATTACTTTTTATGCAAAGTAAAATTCCCAGTGCATGTTTTAATAGATTGATTTATAAGCCTTTATTTAACCCAGGCTCATTCTGGAAACGTCCCGCGAAATACGTCCCGGGAGGTATGTATTTGTGCAGTTTTTGTTTTCGCGAATCCGCAAGAGGCCGCTGTGTGCACTTTTTCGCATCTTGTACCCGCACTGTTCTCGTGTAAAGCCGCCAGAGGCCGCTGTCAAATGACCTTCTGTCTGACTGACTAAATGACTAAATGATTGACTGGGCGACCGGCCAATCGGCCGACCCACCCTCCTCCTCCTTCCCTAAAACCCAACCGGTTTTACCGATTGACCTGCCAGCCCGCACGCTTGCTTCCCTTAACCCAGGGTTGTCCAAACTTGTGGGGGCCCACAAGGCTTTTTATGAATAATAATATAATCTGGCCCGCTATACAAAAATGAACGTAATTCAATAAATAATCACCGGGTGTCGCTGTTACATGCCTTCAATTTTTTTTCGTGCTAATAAAGTGCAAGAATATTCAGCGCTGGCTAATTATGATGTAGCCCAGCTAATCGCACCGCACAGGAAACCTTTCACTGAAGGAGAATTTATAAAGGATGAGTGTTGCAAGTGTAATTTGCCCAGAGAAGATTCGAGATTTTAAAAACGAACGTCTTTCTAGAAACAGTTGGACGATGAATTAAAATAACAAATTAAAATAATTCCATAACACACACACACACACACACATACATACATACATACATATATACACACACATACATATATATATATATATATATATATATATATATATATATATATATATATATATGCGCGTGTCTGTGTAATGTATGTAATATATGGCCTGGGACAACTTTTTTTTTTTTTGCATCTGGCCCTCGGCTCAAAAAGTTTGGACACCCCTGCCTTAACCCAAGCAACAATTTACAAAAGCTGTCCAGAAAAAGAAAACCCCGTCTGGTTTTGGCCGCGTTTTCAGATTTCCCCACATTCTCGCCCGGTTATTAACTCGTTCACTTAAAGGATTCTGTTTTTGTCTTACCTGGTTTCTGGAACCGCTCTTCCCCGGACTCGAACCCGGTCGTCGCCATCGTCAGCTTCCCTCCAGGTCTCCACCCTGCCAACGTACACGACGAGCTAACTGGACAAACTGGTTGCAGTGGGAAAGCCCTCCACACGGAGGTGAGCTGTCAGCCGGCGAGCGCTAAAATAAGCAGCGTCACACCGCCCCGTAGCGTTCGATTAAAAAAATGAAAAGCAGCCATACGTACCTCCGGCCATGTAAATTGCGGTCTCCAGAAACGTCCGCGGGACTACGTTTTCAGAATGAGCTCAGGTTGCTTTTACTGGCCTAAAGATTTTAAATTTCACCTGTAAAGCAACTATACTTCATTTTTTATCTCATTTGACTTTTTCCAGAAAAGAATATTATTGTGTATGTGTAAAGGCGCACCATTAAATGTGATAAATTATTTTGACAAGATAAATATCTACTAACAGAGTTTGATGTTTAGTGTGCTGTCGCTGTAAATATGAAAAGGTGAGTTTGTTTTGCTGTTTAAATGACAGGTTCAATATTATTTATTGGTGGTGAATATCAATCAGTGTTTCTGTACTGTAGTTTCCCTTCACAATTCTGTGGTCCTGTGTGTGTCAATAAATAGATGTTGGTGTGGGAACTGGCATATTTAATGACCAAGTCTTCATATTGCTGGAAAATGTCTGGTTAATAATCAATAAAAGTTTCTCTGTTGTCATCTCATGCAGGCATGCTATGAACAGATACGCTGTCTGTCCATATGTTGTTCAGGTTTAATAAACGTACATGACAAAACATTTTAGAGGACATGTCATATTTTGCATTTGTTATTTGTTTTAGTTTAACTCCAGTTTATGTAGTAACATCATATTCGATTATAATTTAAAGAGCCCATATTATGGGTTTTTGAAAATTCCCCTCCATGTAGTGTGTAACACAGCTCTAAGTGAAGTGAAGTATCCAGCTAAGGCTTAAATCTGTTAGTGTACAGTGTTTAAAACTATTGATTCATCTATAAAAGAGTCGACTCATAGTGCTTCAAACGAGTCGCCTTGATACCGAGTCATTAGGTGTTTCGCCATGACGTACTAACAAAACCAAGTTATTCACGTGCACGCGCAAACCCGGGAGATTTCAAACCTGCGGCCACGCCCTCTGACACAGAAACCCAGACACACACACAAACATGCCGGTCGATTGAAGTCACACTGCAGATGGATATTATATCGAGTCTCTACCCAAAGATGAAACCTCAGCATTATAACCAAGCAGGTGGGAACTATTGGAAACTTTTGCAAACTACATGCTACAAAGAATACTTCATCGGCGTTTGTTAAAGGAAGGATCAGTAAAGAGTAACTTACTGCTGGACATGTCAGGATAGGTTTCTTCCTCCATTTCTCAAGTGTAAGTACGTGCGATTAAAGTTGTTGCCTCGTTGACTCTAGCTTGCAAATGTATTTAGTTCTGATGTGTTACTTGTAACCGCGTGTACTGTATCAGGTTAACTGGCTATATTCTCTTATCGCGTGCAAAGTCACGTTAAAAACGCGACGCGTGCTGCTTTGTTTACGGAGCTCTGTGGACGAGGGTAGTGTGTGCGTGCGTGTGTGTGTGCGTGCGCTGTCGTCTGGAGTTGTGTGTGTGTGTGTGTGTGCGCGCGCGCAAGGACGAGGGCAATATGTGTGTTTGTGTGTGTGTCTGTGAAAAGAGCAGAGTGAGACAAGCTAGGAGATCTCGACAGTTTTTGGAGTTTTTGCTCAATAAAATAGTCAGTCGTCTGTATTTTCAAGTCCATCGTCTGTATTTACATTGACCCACTGGCAGCTAAAATCCACGCCTACACTATTGAGCGTGTATGAACTGTGATTACTTTTATATTGCTGATTAGCTATTGTGCATTTCACTCTCTGACTGAAGGCAGTCGACCAATCGCAACAGACTGTCATCGGTCCAATCAGCGCAGATTAGCTTCGTGCTAAGGAGGGGTTTGGGAACAAATGAATCACTGGACGATTCATACGGGAGTCGCTGGAATAATTAGGTAAAAATAAATGCAGATTATAAGACCATGAAAGTGTTTTTTGACCTTGCATGCATATTAAACTGTTGTTGGAGACCCTTACAACCAAGATATGACCCTATTTCATGTATAATATGGGCTCTTTAACTTAAGATAGTAGACGTGGAGGTCAGCGTAAATTGACTTTTAATGTAGACATTAAATCCACAATAAACAGGTGACTTCTTAAATACCTACTCCAGTGACCAGCTGCTCCTCTAAAACAAAAAGGTGAAGAATCAGATTAATAAAATGGCAAGCTTTTGCATGTTTTTGGTTCCGGGGCATTTCACTGAATTTAAAGCCATCTAATCAGTAAAGCTCTGTTTTTTGCAATTTGAGAAATATCCAGCAGGGTGAAAGGAGGCATGGCAGCACTTTGTTCCAAACACAGATATAAGCAATATTTTCAATGATTTTATTCACATTGGTAACACTTTACAATAAGGTTTATTAGTTAATGCATTTACTAACATGAACTAATCATGAACAACACATGTACAGCATTTATTAATCACAATTGAACATTTACTAATGCATTATTAACATTTAAGTCCATGCTTGTTAACATTAGGTAATGCACCATGAGTTAACATGAACTAACAATGAACTACTGTATTTTCATTAACTAACGTTAACTAACATGAACAAATACAGTAGTAAATGTATTTGTTCATGTAAGTAAATGCATTAATTAACATTAACTAATGAACCTTATTGTAAAGTGTGACCTTCACATTTATTGATATGTTTGCCTACATTTCTTCGATTATATAGAGAAAAGAAGAATAGCGCTTATTACTAAAAGTTCAAAATCCATTGTAGAATTCTAAGGGCCCACGCATTTCGGCCCTTCAGAGATATCTGCCCAATCCCAATTCTTCCCCTTATCCCTCGTTTTGCACGTTCCCGTAAAGCAGGCGTGTCCAAACTACGGCCCGCGGGCCATCTGCGGCCCGCAATCAGTTTTGTGGCGGCCCGCTAGGCTTTTTATAAATATCAATAGAATCTGGCCCGCTATACAAAAATGAACGTAATTCAATAAATAACCACCGGGTGTCGCTATTACATGCATTCAATTAAGCAGCAGTTCTTGTTATGATCTATATATCTATCTGTCTGTCTGTCTATCTATCTATCTACATACAGTTGAAGTCTGAATTATTAGCCCCTCTTTGATTTTTTTCTTTTTTTTTTAAATATTTCCCAAATGATGTTTAACAAGCAAGGACATTTTTACAGTATGTCTGATAATATTTTTTCTTTTGGAGAAAGACTTTTGTTTTATTTCGGCTACAATAAAAAGCGGTTTAAATTTTTTTATGAACCATTTTAAGGTCAAAATTATTAGCCCCTTAAGTCTTCAGAACAAACCATTGTTATAAAATAACTTGCCTAATTACCTTAACTTGACTAGTTAACTTGATTAACCTAGTTAAGCCTTTAAATGTCACTTTAAGCTGCATAGAAGTGTCTTAAAAATATCTAGTCAAATATTATTTACTGTCATCATGGCAAAGATAAAATAAATCAGTTATTAGAAATGAGTTACTAAAACTAATATGTTTAGAAATGTGTGGAAAAAAATCTTCTCTCCGTTAAACAGAAATTGGGGAAAAAAATAAACGGGGGCTAATAATTTAGGGGGGCTAACAATTCTGACTTCAACTGTATTTATATATATGTGTCTGTGTGATGTGTGATGTATGTAAAATTTGGCCCGCGACAACGTTTGTTTTTTGCATCTGGCCCTCGGCCCAAAAAGTTTGGACACCCCTGCCGTAAAGGGGTAGGGGTGTCCCAATTCTCTTTAGCTTGGAGGCGTAGGGCTAAAGGGAAGGGGTATACACCCCTTCGAAAGGAGATTTTTCAGGACCACACTCGAAACCAAGGGGTAAGAAAATTTCCCGGAATACACCAGCCACAGCAGCAGCATAGCTGCACCCGAAAGTAAGGAGATCCAGAAATGTGTATTTTTTGTCATTATTAAAAATTTTTTACATCAAACGAGCACGTGTTTTAATATATTCAAAACCGCGTTTGTGTTTTACCGTCATGCTTTAAAAGAAACTAGATATGGTAATAGACTTGGAATATAGTGGATAAACAGTTGTTTATTATTTACATTTTATAAAGAATCATAGAAATAGAGTAAACTTTAAAAGTACAAACCCTTCATATCTGAATGCATTCTAACTGGCTGTCAGGATTTTTATTGTTCATCAACTTCAAAAAATAATGTTCATAAAGTTGTTATCAGGCGAAACGCAGTGAGTAGCACATTCGCCTCACAGCAAGAAGGTCGCTGATTCGAGCCTCGGCTGGGTCAGTTGGCATTTCTGTGTGGAGTTTGCATGTTCTCAGGTTTCCACGTTACAGGTAAATTGGCTAAGCTAAAATTGACCGTAGTGAATGTGTGTGTGTTTCCCAGTGATTGGTTGTGGCTGGAAAGGCATCCGCTGCGTAAAATATATGCTTGGTAAGTTGGCAGTTCATTCCGCTGTGGCGATGAGCTACAGTTGCTTCTTTTACCCATTTGTACATTTCTTTTGATAAAAGCGTCTACTAAATGAAAATAAAACGAAATGTGTGTGTAGTCAATCCACAAGGAGAAACACCAGGAAGACATTCCTTCATCATCTATTCCACCCCCTTCATGAACTCCAAGAACTCTGCAATAGAAGGAAACCCATGAGGCAAAGGCAAGAAAGGATTTGCATCAAATAGGGCGCTATAATGCCACTGTAGGAAAACTGTAACATATGTATAAAGTAGTATCCCATCATACCAAAAAATGGGCACTCCTGATATCAGGGCTGAGACGTTTACTAAAAAGTAATGGACTATTCTGAACCTTAGATACCTTTATTTGAAAGGCTTTTATAACTTTTCTATTTAAGGACGACACTAGCCTTGTAGCCAGTGGTAACAGAGTTTAAAAAAAAAAAAAAAGTAGATGGCCAGTGGTCCATATAATAATTAATCTCTTTTCTATCTTTCTTTTTTATTGTGAGTGGATTTGAGTAGAGTATAAATAAAAACACATGCTTACCATCATAATCAATTTTTCCGTCATTGTTTTTGTCTCCGTCCCTCATCAGTTCCTCAATGTCATCTTCAGTGATGGCTTCACCTGTAGCTTCCAGCATTAGCTTCAGTTCATCAAGGTCAATGTAACCATCTGCATTCCTGTCCAGATGCAATCAAATGCAATCAGAAGCCTTTAAACCCAACACCAGTTTGCTCTCGGAATTTGGTGTAAAGACAGACGTACTTGTCAAACATACGGAAGAGTTCCGCCAGTTCTTCCTCTGGCCTTCCTTTGCTGTCATCTTTCATGCACCTCACCATCATGACCAAAAATTCCTCAAAATCCACCGTACCACTTCCTGTATGAAAACGACCAACATTTCTTTTAAATTTTTAAAACTGACCCAGCAAACTGAAAAATCACATTATCTTAACAGCCATTTAACAACAGTGATATCTCAGCTTCAGGCCCCTGCTGCAAAAAAAAAATGCTTAAACCAGCCTAGGCTGGTTTTAGCTGGTTTACTAGCCTGATTTTAGAGGGGTTTCAGCCAACAGGGGTTTCAGGCTGGTTTCCAACCATTTGCAGCCTGGTCTTAGCTGGTCATGCTGGAAAATGACCAGCTAAAACCAGCTTGACCAGCCTGGTTTGGGCTGGACATAGCTGGTTTTGGCTGGGCTTTCAACCTGCCTAGGCTGGTCAAGCTGGTTTTAGCTGGTCATCTCCTAGCCTGACCAGCTAAGACCAGGCTGGAAATGGTTAGAAACCAGCCTGAAATGGCCAAAACCCCTCTAAAACCAGGCTGGTCAACCAGCCAACCAGCCTAGGCTGGCTTAAGCTGTTTTTTTTTTTCAGTAGGGTAGGGACCTGGGATTGGCTCATTTTACTCATGCAAGCAAACAGCACTTCCTGTATCCTACACCTCCTAATTAGCTTAAATGTTAATAATGATTAGCTAAGTAACATCATGCTAGGTAATATTAGGAATTGATCAAACGTGCAAATGAGCCTTGCCTAGTAACAAACCAGAACACGCTAGCAACTGCCTAGACATCTGGGTCGATTTTTATATAATTCATTTGACCAGGAAGCTTAGATATATCATCATGCTAATCTATCAAACTACTCCATAGCAACAAAACAGACTAACCTAGCAACCATTTAAGAACAACTCAGCATCAGAACATCCTTGGACCTAAAGATGGGCTGATTGACTCATGCTAAAAAATGCAACTTCCTGTATCTTACACATGCTAGCAGGGATTAGCTAAATGCTAATAATGATAGGCTAAGTACAGATTGTAGTATTTTATTAAGATTGATCAAATCTGCTTTGCTATTTTCCTGTAAAGTAAGAGACCATGTAATATATATTTACAGGTTAAAAACAAACAGCTTGGGGTTCTTTGATGTTACTTATTCTGAATTGATCTGGACTTTACCATCTTCATCTACTTCGTCGATCATCTCCTGGAGCTCTTCAGGGGTAGGGTTCTGGCCTAACATCCTCATCACTTTACCAAGCTCTTTAGTGCTGATACAGCCATCCTCAGCGTCCTGAACAAAAATGTCAAATGCTGCACGGAACTCTACATAAACGCAACAAAACAGTTAGTTAGGCTATATAACATATACATATATCACAAACAATATATCACAAACAAATATTGCAAGTCAATTTAGTAAATATTTTTTTAATAGAGACAAAACCTATTTAAATTAGTTAAAATGTGCTAGTTTTGATTATTAGTCTTGAAATATATATATATTTTTTTGTATGTTTACATACAGTACTGTCAAAATGTGAAGAGCTGCTATTATAAAGTGATCATATTGTGAACTGTTATTTTTAGCCAGTGTTCTTTCTGACAGTTCTAATTCATTACTACAGGTAAATAACTAAAACCACTCAAATCCAGTAAAAGGTAAAACTATTTGCGCTACAAACCAGTGGTTATAATTAAGATAATAAATTAAAGTGATATGAAAACAAATATCTGTTTGCAATATCAATAAGCATTTCTATAGTGGTAAGAAAATGGGGAAGGAAACAACATTAAAAGCTTTATTCAACTATCAATACATTTAGAACATTTTCAGCTAGTCTAAATCCAAATTCATGCTGTAAATTTTTCTGAACAGTACCATTTTTCTGCTCATCAGTGAGTTGCTCTGCCTGTTGAAGACATGGATTAAGAATCATCACAGATCATTACAGAAAAATGTATGTACACTACGTACACAACTAGTAACAAGCATCATAGTTGCAAGCATCATAATTTTATTAACACTGATTTTTACAACCACAAAGTTTAAGACATTATGGAAAAAAAAAGTACTCATTTCTAAATTTACTTTGACTTGTATTTCATTGCAGACAATACAACAAACATTATTTAATGTGACCCTCATGATTATTTTTTGTTTTGTTTTGTTTTAAAATAAACATGTATTTCAAAATTTGTAACAGTAAAGCATTTAGCACGTCATTGCTTTTCACAACATTTAAAAGCCGTTTAGAGACTGGAGTGTTTTAGGTGTAATTTTGTCCCATTCTTTCTGCAAACAAGTCTTAAGGTGGTCAACAGTACGGGGTCTTTGTTGTCGCATTTTGCTTTCTCTATTGGAGACAGGTTGGGACTGCTAACTCAGCTGCTTAAGTTTCTGACTACAACCCGCCAGATTGCTGCAACATAAACATGTATCAGGATTTCCTTGCCAGACTGACAGTGTTGCATCTCTCTTTCATACACAGAGAGAGCGAGAGTGATCAGTCAAGATAACCTAGTGATAACACACACAGTTTAACACACACACAATCTGACTTTAAGTATTTTATCTTAAGCACCTGCATTTCCAACATGCATACCCACATTTAGAGCTGAGCAAAGCATGCCAAAATTAGCCATGGTGTGACAGGCGGCTCTCCATGTGGAGTCATGAATGGTCGTACCTCTGCTGTTTTAAGTGGCTCCTATCTAACTCTGATAATGCTCAAGAGTCAAGTTATTTAGAGCTGTCTTTTTTAGCCCAGTGACATAAACTGGCCTGCTTGAGTGAATCATGTATAAAAGTTATGTACGCTGTAATGGCATTAGGGGTGTGTTGATCAGGTGTGCCTTAAAAGAGAATGTAATAATGCCATGCTGTATAATCTTCATAAGTTGATTCATTTTCTTGTCGGCTTAGTCCCTTTATTAATCCGGGGTCGCCACAGTGGAATGAACTGCCAGCACGTTTTTACGCAGCGGATGCCCATCCAGCTGCAACCCATCTCTGGGAAACATCCACACACACACTCATACAATACATACAATTTAGCCTACCTAATTCACCTGTACTGCATGTCTTTGGACTGTGCGGTAAAACCAGATCACCTGCACCCACTCAAATGCAGGGAGAACATGCAAACTCCACACAGAAACACCAACTGAGCCAGGTTCGAATACGCAACCCGACGACCTTCTTGCTGTGAGGCGAAAGCACTACCTACTGCGCCATCTTCATAAGTAATTGCATAAATAATAAAAAGAAATACTCAGATATTTGACACATTGTTTTTATGAAGGTGTGTTTAGGAGCCCTTTAAATACACCTCATAATCTTCTTTTCATTCATGACCATTTTAAAATGGTATGCATTACAATACAACATCAGCATTAAATGACATGTCCAAATAGGGTAAGATGGGTGAAAATGCCTGTTTTTACATTGAAGCTGCATCATATTTAATTAGTGTATGCAGGATTATGACACAGGTATGTATATATAACTGTATCAGTATATAATTTCTCTCATTTTGCCTTTAGGTTTAATAAATGTCGGAGACGTCTAAAATGTAAACAAATTATTGGTGAATAATAATCCCATTTATTTCAATAAGTGAGAAATAACACTACTAACATCCTGCCACTTACCAATTATTATTATTATTTCAATATTACATTTAAATCTTTCTCCAAAAAGTTTAATCTTCAACAATACAGTGTCAAAAATAAAAGGAGTACTCCTTTAAGCTAAGCCATGAATACAAAGTATGATACGTTATATGACTGTAGTTAAAAGTATAAATGAAAATGAAAACTATTTCTTAGCCCACTATATGCGCTTGTATATTGTGAAACTTTGTTTAAAACTCAAAGCACGAAAAAAGACCCAAGACTCACCGCTGCTTTGTAGATGTCGTTCATTGTGAGAAGATCAGATGAAGTGCCGACACTAGTGGAGACCAGGACACAAAACCAAATGAGCTTTATAGAGAGACCGCCTGCTCCTTCCTGCCCACCTCAGTGTGGGATGGTCCATCACTGTCACATAAGCCTGATAGAACAGCTATTTGTTTATGACTAGGCTTTAGTTAAAATTGGATAGACAAAAAAAACTATTATATATTCATAATATACATGTACAGTATACATACTATCAAACAAAACGTAATCTGTAAAAATTTAAAGCAGGAAAGACAGCAACAACATGAGGAAGGCAGAATAGCTATATGTGAGGAGGATATGCTGAGGGAAACTGTACACCTGTACTCACCTCCAAGTACTCCACTACTCAGCTGACTGCTGTATGCTCCAATGATAAAGAAACCACACTTAATCAGTACTTCCTATTTAATATCAACACTATGAAGAAATCCTATTGTTAAAAAAATTCTATTTTGTATAACATATAACGTATGTATTGTATTATGAGTACCTGCAACAGGTTTCTTATGGTTAGGCAGAGAGAGAGAGAGAGTTCAAAGAGGACATGAAATTATGCAAACTATTAGCCCTCTCTTGGTTATGGTACACCATTCCACAGAAAGGACAGAATTTGTAATAGGTTGAAATATCTGCAGATACAGAATGTAAAAAAAAAAAAAATGTTTAGTATTTTTTCATAATTAAAATAAAATAAAAGATTATCCACCTTGGACAATTGCTGTAGTTGTAAGACTTTTCGCTTTATGTGTAATGCAGACAGGATCACTGAGCAATGTGCGGTCTGAGTAGTGGTAGCACATTTATCCCTTTCACACATACACACCTTTCCGGAAAATTACCGGCAATTTTCCGGAAAGGTGTGTATGTGTGAACAGGCTCTTTTTGAAAATACCGGTAAATTCGTTCTGGCTATTTTCCCGAAAGAGAAGTTGTAACATTACCGGTAATTTGCTGGAATGCTGCGCTGTGTGAACGCAAAAGGAAGATTGCCGGAAAGAGCACGTGCACGTCTAGAACGTGCTGACGTGAGACGTCCGCTTTAGCCAATCAGACGCATTCACATCCGCGCGGTTTATGAGAATTAAAGCCGTAGAATATTTTTCCAGACACATTTAGCTGCCAGAAATTAGTCAGATAACATTTATACAGTATATTCATCTTAATGCCAACCGTGTAATTAATTATCCATAAGATGCTTATGATAAGCCGTTTTTTGTTTACCTTCAATGTTTGCGTGTGCCCAAGAAATAGCCCGTGAGCGCCAGCACACACACATATCATGTACATCTCGACAGGCGAAAGTGTTTCTCTATATGTTTTCATCAAAGTTGTTCACAATACTGATGAATCCACAGAGTTTGTGATGTAGTCAAATATTTGCAAACACAAGTGCAGCCGTTTAGAAGTCATTTCTGGTTAATGATGTCAGAATTTACCGGTATTTTGGAATGGATGTGTAAATGCTCTTTTCCGGAAAAATTCCGTAACGTCCTCGCCTGTGTGAACAGCACTTTAGCGGTAAAGTCGTTCCGGATATTTTCCATATATTTACCGGTATCACTGTGTGAAAGGGGCTAATGTCTCATCAGGGATTAGATGTTTTGGATATTTGTTATAGTCTGAAGGAAGCCTCAAATGATTGAGAATAGTAGATGGTAGATTTTTTCATTAAGATCTATTGTACCTTGCTCTTTATTTTAGCAGTTTCCTTTGGAGGGTAATTTTCACTTTCATTATTTTCTTCCATCACTGCTGCCTGAAATTCTTCAGCGTTTTCAGTGCTCCGGACCTTTCAGAAGAGTTCAGTGTGAACTTGAAAGAGGTGCCATTTTGCTATGTATTTATGGGCACGTGATTTCTGGGTTTTTTCACAGGGACAGTGCCATGAACTCTTCTTGGTGTCATATACCATGTCTCCACCCAGTCTACTATAATATGATATATTAGGCTTGTAGACCGATATGAATCTTTTTAATCTTGGATTCAACTGACAATGGTGCATTTTCTTCTTGGGCTAGTGTTTGACGATCTACACAGTTTTATTTTGTCCTGCCCAAACCACTTGCTTTTAGCCAATTCCTTTAAACTTTCTTCTGTGAGTGAAGGTAAGGTTAAAATGATTTGCGTATGAAACTGACCGCTGGGGAACACATTGGTATGACAGCATTCCACTTCTCCAAGCCAACTTCATATTAGTCTGGCACTCATTTAATTCACATGAAACATGGTTCTCCACTTATTTTAATTTGCACATGGAGCGGAATACAAGCTCCATGAAAACTTTTGTGGGCCATACAGACTCCATTCTGAGGGTCTATGCTCTCACTGTCAAGATGAGATTAATATTTGGCGAGTACCTGATTATGTGCTTTCAGATCAAGGACCTCAGTTTGCGTCTGAAACTTTCTCTGGAACCTGTAAACTATGAAATTTAACACAGTAATCACTACGGCCTACCATCCCCAAACAAATATCACAAAAAGAGTAAATCGTACTCTGAAGACCATGGTAGCTTCTTATGTCGACTTAAATCATCACCCGTGAATTTCGTTTCGCTCTAAACTGATTGGGAATCTACAGCTGTAACACCTGCTGAGTTAAATCTCAACAGACTACACAGAGGTCCACTGGACATGGCATAGCAGCCCCGGGACATGAAATCTCAACTTCAAGATTTAAAGGATTTTCTGAAAACAAATATTTACAAATCTCGCCTTCGACCGAAGAGGAATTATGATCTCCTTAGAAGAGATCTTTCCTTCAAAGCTAAAAAGTTTTCTGCCAAACTCCTTTCAGATAGCAAGAACTCTTTTGTAATTATCCATCAAATGGGTCCTTTGAACGTGTGTGATCTGTGTGGGGTGAAAACAGGAGGTCAAGCTAAGCAGCTCCTAGTTAGTGTAGGGGACAGTATCTTCGCCTGTCATTCGGATGACCGAGGTTCGATTCCCAAATGGGGGAGTCCCTTTTTAGTCATCTAATTTTTGGCTTTTGCCTTTCACAAGGGTGGCAACCACCTATGCGATATATACAGCAGCCGAAAGAAATGCTTTAGTCTGAAATCAAACCCAGGTCAACTGCTTGGAAGGCAGCTATGCTCATCCCTATGGTCAACACTCCTCTTGCTGTCAGCCAAGATCTTTAGTGCCAGTGCTGTGGACAATGCTGTTAGGACTGGATTACATTGCTGATCCATGTGGGGTGAGAACCTGTGCTCTAGGCATGCAGCTCCTCGTTAGTGTAGTGGACAGTCTTTCCGCCTGTCACACGGTAGAATGGAGTTCGATTCTCCGATAGGGAGTCCCTTCTTTGTCTTTTACTTTTTGGCTGTTGCCTTTCACAAGGGTGGCACCTGCCTATGCGATATATACAGCAGCCAAAGGAAATGCATTTTCCAGGAATGAAATCTGGTTCAACTGCTTGGAAGGCAGCTATGCTCAACACTATACCACCAACACTTGCAAGCTGCTCTTGCCAGAAGAGCTTAAAAAGAATGCTTTTAACCAGGGCCTCCTTTGTCTGGGTTCGGCACTGAAAAACATGTCCAGCATATGGATTCCAACTGTCACAAAATGCACTGATCTACCCACATGTCATGGGACATTTTCACAAGAGTGGCACCCAGCCATGTAATATTACGGCAGCCAAAGGTAATGCATTGGCCGGGTATCAAACCCAGGTCAATTGCTTGGAAGGCAGCTATGCTCAACACTATACCACCAACGCTTGCAGCCATCCTCTGACAGAAGTGCTGAAAAAGAGGGCAGCCAAGATCTTTAGGGCCAGCGATGGGGACTATGCTGTTAGGACTGGATTACATTGCTGCTCTGTGTGGGGTGAGAACGAATGCTCTAACTGTACAGCTCCTTGATAGTAAAGTGGACAGTAACTCTGCCTGGCATGCGGAAGACTGGGGTTCGATTCCCTGACGAGGACTCCCTTGGTCGTCTTTTAATTTTTGGCTGTTTTTACTTTTGACTGACATGAATGTATCATGTGTGTACATGTATAGTGTGTCATGTATGTAAATGTAAATAATGTATGTATATGTATAAAGTGTACATATGTATGGAGTGTATCAGGTGTGGTTATATATGTAAGAAGTGTATCATGAGTGCATGTGTGTGGAGTGTATCAGGTGTGAGTACATCAATTCTCAGTGGCTCAGTGGATATGTCAAGCACCTTTCACGCCACAGACCCGGGTTCTATCCCAGACACTGACATGAATGTATTGTGTGTATATGTACAGTGTGTCATGTATGTAAATATTATATCATGAGTGTATATGTACAGAATGTGTATCATGAGTGTATGTGTATAATGTGTCATGTATATGTATGAAATGTGTCATGTATAGGCAGTATCATGTATGAAAATAATATATCATGAATGTTTGTATGTATAGAGTGTATCATGTGTGTACATTTATAGTGTGTCATGTATGTAAATAATATATCATGAATGTTTATATATAGTGTGTGTATGTATGGAGTGTATCAGGCGTGGTTATTTATGTGTGGAGTGTATCAGGGGTCCGTTCTTCGTACCTCGCTTAAATGATCTAAGATTATTAGATTATTAGATATAAGATTATCCTGGATCTTTTAATCTTGATAACTGATCTCTCGCTAATTTGGTTCTTCAAACAAGTTCGCGAATCAGATTAGAATGTCTGGATGAACTGATCTGAGATCGCTGCGTGTGTTGTGAAGGAGATCTATCGATCCTCGAAATCATGATCAGCAATGCAACGATTGGCTGACGGCACAGCAGCGTAATGACATCATCTGATTAATATTCAATTATCCATGTGAGCAAAATTACATCAAATTAGCAGTAAACGGCTTGTTAAATATGACACGCAGTAACTTCACATTTGTTGTGAGCTGCAGGCTTTACACTTTCATGTGTCAAGAGTATTCATCATGAATTTCAATGCAAATCAATGTATTTAGTTCTACATTTAGAAAAGATTTTCTTTATTATAGTAATCGTTTTTTAATCAGTGTAA